CTTTTGTATACAAACAGGAATGGTTAATCTGGCGACACCTCGACGTCCTTCACTAGTGAAGAAAAGACACGGCGACAAGAGGTTGTATCACCTATTTCAAGAACGAATGGCTATGAAGCATGCTAACAAATATCAAAGTGGGATATTGTGGGAAAACACGATGATAATGGAAGTCTTCTACAGCTCAACGTTTTGGTTACTGCGGGTGTTACCTTATTTCACTGCTGATCAACCCAAACACATTTCATTACATCTGTACCGAATCCCGTGTGAATAATCTTGAACATGATGACAGCTTTTCGGGTGCGACTCCCTCCCTTTGAGTTTCGTCAGATACGCATTGGTGAGGATTCCCATCTAGGATGAAACAGGTGTAAAGCGTTTCTCGGCTTTTCTTGATTGACTGGCTTCACAAACAGGACGCAATTTCTATTGGCAAGGAGCGGATCTCCCCCTACCACCATTTAGATACAGAGCAATCGTTGAAGTTGATGCGCCAAAGTTTGCACTAACTGCTTCTTAACTAGTGGGATACAGTTCTCACACGATGGAAAACTGCTCCTGACTAGCGAAATGAAGTCTTTCAGATTCAGCCGGGGTCATTGGGAGACGCAACTGAATCCCCGGTTTATGACACTTTTAACCTATATGTGCTGCACAAAGGCTGTGCCATGTTTCGCTTGGTCTGATTACAGGGTGACACATTCAGCTGAGCGACATCATAAACGAGAGGTTCATCTGGAATTCATTCAAGTCTCCTCTAACTGCGTACTTTTTGGTCTTCCAGGAAGCCATAATGTTGGCAGACACTCATAAGGTGCATCCATCTGATGAATCTCAGGAAGGTTCAAACCGGTGAAGGGCTCTTGAAGGCCTTATTAATAGTGTGCTTCGTTGAAAAAAATTTCGGCGTAAGTTTTCATACCACTGTCACGTTTGGTTTGTTGATTTTGGAGGACTATAGAGAAAACGCTTGCAGTTCAGGTAGCGTAGATGGCCGTTGATTTGTTCGCTGAGCTGGCCAATTTCGATTGCGAGCGTTTCATCACCGATCGAGGTGATATCACCAGTGCGTGGTTAAGGAGAGTAGTGGTGAGTAGCGATGAGTTGGAGGTTGTGCGTTATGTAGTGTTGCATGTGTTCGGTCGGGCGGTTCTACTATTTGCTCGGTTATCCTGTGTTCTAGTTCGTCGGTGCCCCCTTGACCCCTGAGCTCGGCATCCCCTGCGCTCGTACTCTGGTCGATGCCGGAGTGACCTTTGGTCTTGACCCTTGCGAGTTCTGCCCGATGACCTTTAATGATCTGACTCCAAATCGTTCTTCGTTTCTTTGTTTGGAAACCAGATATTTGGTGTTCCGTGTTGAGATGTTGCTCCTATCTTGGTGGTGCATAAATTCCATCCAGCTCAATGCATCGGTTTATCGGGGAGGCCTACGTTTACCATAATTATGTCATCTGAACTGTGAAATTCAAAGCGAACTTACGAGTGCATATTTTTCAACCTTTACAATAGGTGCTTCAGATATTCGAATGGATTTTTCAAGGCGACCTTTATTCTATCGCGTCAGGAGGTTGTTAGGATAATGTTTCAAAAACGACCAGATACTATGACTACGGGTACACCAAAGCCTAATATTACGTCAGGAAATGCAAGGAGCCATATATTCTCTCCACGGAGACATGGTGTTAAGTGAACTCCTTGTATCCATATTCCTCCCTAAGAAGAAGAACCCACAGTATTCAATCGCAGATGATTTGCTATCCTGCATGTCACTTTGAACTCATGGTCAGTGGTCAAGCCTTCTAGACAATCTCTTTATGCACGGCCAACTGCGCATTTGTTGAAGTGGCAACTCTTGATTTGCACGCAATAATTTGAAGCTAGTTCACCTTGATCGTTCTGGTCTTGTGGTCTAACTTGATTTTGTTTCATTCCTTCTTATATTCTACTATATCCATATTCTTCAGTGACTTGAGCTAATTGGTGACATACTATTGAAGATCTGTTCATTATTCGGCGAGGCGATCTTAGAATGTTGTCCGTTTACGCTGATTCAGTAGGCCGATTTATCGATGCTAGCGATTTCTTTGCTTACTGTACGACGGAATGCCTTACTGAAGTCAACTGGAACAGTGTGTAGTTTTTGGATGAATTTCACCTTAGCCGAACAAAAGTTCAATTAACTTTCATCACCGCATAGCACGATTTAGGGGCAGTTGACGAAGAAACTGGGGATGGGTGTGTTTAGAACACATAAGTAGAAGACCATCCGATGCGATATCGAGATGACAAGGTGACGGTCAAACCGCCAGTTTCGTCGTACTCCACAACCCTCAGCTTCTTACGACAGCATGCCCTAAGCAAAATTTCTCACTACAGAATACCAGAATATGTCTCACATATTATATATATAGCGATATCGAGATGACAAGGTGACGGTCAAACCGCCAGTTTCGTCGTACTCCACAACCCTCAGCTTCTTACGACAGCATGCCCTAAGCAAAATTTCTCACTACAGAATACCAGAATATGTCTCACATATATATATATATATACATATGTCTCGAATATAAATTAGGTTAGCTGACATAATCAGATCGATCGATGACAGTTATTTTCAAAATGACAGAAGAAGATGGACAACGACGACAGGGATTTTTTTAAAGTTTTAGATGGAACCTTTCTAATGAAGATTGTTAGTGCTTCGCCGAAGGCAGAAGATTTGCAAATGACATTTCGAGACTCTCAGCTCCTTCGATCAGAACAGAAGTTTTTGTCCATGGTTCTTTAAACGGCCCAGCAATTACGTTCACTGAAAAGTTTCTACCTACTTCTCATAAAGGGGATAGCGAAGAATTCTGAGAACTCTGAGAATAAAAACAACGGCAAAAATTCTGATGAGATCCTGACAACTCGCCACTGCTTATTTCTATACAAAGCTCGCACCTCAAACCGTCGCAAATTCTTTTGATGGGGCAGATTTTGTCGCCCGTCCACCAATGCACAAAGGCCAGTTGGTATGAGGGTTTCTGTGAAACAGAGCACAGGTGACAAGGTAGCATTCTGAACTCAAAATCATTTGGTTCACGAGTCGGTTAAACACGACGACTAATCCTCTTAAGAACCCCTCTTATGTCTATTTGATTAGGCAAGAGTTCTCACATAGTAATTGCTCTGCAATCGCACACGAAACTTCAAACCGCGAGGCTCTACTGCTCTCGCTTCTTGGGCCAAAGTCTTCAGCCTACAAGACATTTCCTGTAGATGTTCACTGTTGTACTCTAGTATATGCGTGGCCCTAATGTGTATCGAATAAGCCTTGTTGTGTTGTGAAAACCCTTAGTTAAGTACGGCACAGTAAGCTAACCGGTATCTCGATTACCTCTTAGGCCATATCTCCAGTTCAGTCTACTGGCTGTTGGCCCACGGAAACAGGTCATTATCGTCTTGTGTTCCGCAAACTCGACTGCATCCACTGTAGAAAGCGCTCATCAAATCGCAATTTAATGGTGCAAGAGGTTGTTTTTGTGCAGAATCCGCTAACCAACAGATACCCAACTGCATGAATGATCGCGATGCATTCAATCCTTACATATGGGAAAATTTGTGCGAGAACAACTGTCTAACCTGTGACCGATCGGATCAGTGGGACAGTTGATTTATCCAACTATGAAAAAAAAACTCCCATTTTTCTGGACAGTGTCACAAATTTGCCACTAGGAACTCCTCGAGTTCAGCCACGGTTGTATAGAGTTCAGATGAACGTTGTTCAGGGGACGATGAGTTTGTTGACAGTATAAGGAAAGTTTAATAGCTCCTCGACTGATTGCAACTCAGATGTAAGTTTCACTCTGTTGGTATACTATTCGTAGAGGTATACTAGCTCCGGATAAGTCTGTAGTTAAATCGTTAGTTTACTGACAAGAATATCTGCAACTCGAACCAAGCCTATGCCTCTCGGCTGCTCCTGTATATGCTTGAGAAATCTGGAATTATCTCAGCCGTCGTTTTTCACGGGCCTCCAGCTGGGTGTTCCAGCTGGACGATTATTATTGTCATCATTTACTGAAATGATAAAATACTATTATACAAATGGGATTTCAATAATCCGTTGCGAAAATCTCGCGATGACTTCCGAAGCGGTCTCACTTCTACCGGCAGACATTTTGATCGCGATGCCTTTGAACCTTGTGCTTTCAGAGATAGGGACAGTGGTATGCTAACATTTTCTTGTGAAGCCTCCAGTTTTTGAACCCCTGGATATGTAACTGACGATCTCTTAAAATCATTTTTTTTATCTAGAACGACCAATGCTGGATTCCTTCAATTTAGCGAGATAGTATCAAGAACGCTAATCAGTTATGTGGGCCGGCATGCCGTTCCTAGACGCAGTAATCTGTGGTGATGACCCTCAAGACGATAGGCTCAAGTGAAATGGTGTGTCACTGATCATACGGTCTCACAGACCAACAGAACTTAACTGATCAAGAAAAACCAACTACTGAAATTCCCTCTGACAAAATACTACTGGGGCTTCATTTAAATATAGAATTTTTTTTAAAATTAGCCAGCGCAGCCACACAGCTTAGCGAACAACGGGAGTGCAAGAAATGATGGTCTTGTAATGGTTTAAAATGAATTTCTGATGCAAACCGAGATTTGTTGCCCCCCTTATAGCTTCAGGCGGTATTATTGATTCTCCACACCCGGTTTTATTGTAAGATAAAATCAAGGGCCTAAACTTCAGCGATGACTAATACCCTGTTATCTGAGCTCGGTAATTTGACGACTGGAATATCAGCCATGTATGTGAAATCTGAGCTACCAACAAATGAAGCTTTTAGTTCACCGAAACAGTGATGCGGAAATGGTGTGGTCGAATGGTTTTCAAGTTTCAGGAATATATATGTATACATGTATAAGCAACGCTACACCACAAGAATAACGTAAAGTTTTCTTGATATCCTGCGGAAATTTACAAGTTCAGAAAACACTCACTTGTTGACCACGCATATGTGCTTCCCCCAAACTGTCCAAAGCCCACCTTGCATAGACACTTCCTGACTGCAGAATAACCCGTTGAAAATAGCGTTGTGCTAACGGAGACAACCACTGAATCGACGCACTCACAGCCCCTGAGGATTCGCCGAAAACCGTAACGTGCTTCGGATTTCCCCCGAATTCCGCTATGTTCTCATGCATCCATTCAAGTGCTAATTGCTGATCCAGTAGGCCTTGATTCCCCCGGGCTACTGAGTTTGCATTCGGTACACCATTCGGTAATGGGTTGGCAGCGCCTGAGTCAGGGTCCAGTCGGAGAAATCCAAGCGCACCGACACGGTATTGCATGCTCAAGACAATGACCTTATGTTTGGCCACCAGCACAGAAGCATCGTAAACATCCAATGTGGAGGTGCCACTTGTATACCCCCCTCCATAAATCCAAACCATGACTGGCAAAAGATTCGTCGGACTTGCATATGATGGCGTCCAAATGTTCAAATACAAGCAGTCCTCACTCATTTCCGTGTTGTTCAACCACATCCGGGCAGCCGGATTATTTTTATCGAACCCTTCCAGGATGTACTGCCAACAAGCTGGTGGTAAGCGAGTTGCATTGCGTATCCCTGACCACCCTGGATGCTTTTGTGGTGGAGCAAACCGTCTCACACCAACCGGCGGCTGAGCAAACGGTATTCCATGAAAGACGTTGATGCTGATTTGCTTACCATCGACTTGTACCAGTTTCCTTTGACCTCGCACTTTACCCCCATGAGTGAGTTGTTTGATCAACTCTGGATCCTGAGCATCGGAAAAACTGGCGATAACAATGAGCAGGAGGTAAGAAATCCAATAACCACTCATTAAAATGGAATGTGACGGAGATAACACAATCCCAAGTCTCCACAGAAAACCGTATTGACATAAGACCACGGCTTTTCAAACACTTCATTTCTGGATTCCGTTAACCAATCGCATCACAGGGAATCAGTGTCGCTAAAGGACGGGCCAATGGAAAAACAGTACGCTTGTCCTAGGAATATACAGAATAGCGTTTAGACGCTGAGCCTAAGTCTGTTCATATTCGGTGAATTTATTATGAAGTTTTGATTTTGGTGAGCTGCGGGGTAGTGGTAATTGTAACTGTTATTATACACTGTCTGGGATGAACACGGAAACATTAGAAGGCTGGAAGAAAGTAAATGAATAAAGCCCATCAGTTATACTGCATGTGACGCCTATCTAAATCCACTGAAGTGATAACTCAGTCTATTTATGTGTACGAATCCTGTTTTGACTGGAACCTGCTTTGAGAATAATTTGTGAAGAGATTCCATGAAAAAGGCCGAAAGAACGGGAAGCCTTCCCCGGAAGATATATCTCCTGTTGCTGCTCATATGAAAGCACGTAGACATTACGACCAACAGTAGGCACAAGTTTGCTTCAAGGTAGTTTGGGTTTGTTGGGGAAATTTTCACCTTGGACACTACACCAATCCCCCAAAAAATAGTATTTTCCATAGAGAGACTGAGGCTCCAAAGTGAACTCAATGAACTAGATTTCTTTGAAAACAGTCTAATTTTATAGGCTTTAGGGAGGTGTAAACTGATGAATAGTCGAACCTAACAGCGTGCGTGCTAAAAAAGAACCACGATTTCAGGCCACGATTTGGGGCACATTAATTACTTACTCCTAAGCAACTGGTCGGATGGAAGTCTTGGAAAATGTAACGGCAATCTTGACTGTCGTAAGACGAGACCAAAACACAAACTTTTCGATGTTGGGGGATTCAGCTATTGGCTAGAACTTTTTCGGTAAAATTGGGCTTTCCGCCTTAAATATGAGGGAATATTCAGTTGAAGATCATCATAAACGGAATATCCAAACCAAATTGATACGCAAGTAAGCACATCTCGTAAGGACAATTTTTCCTGAGCCTGTTGCAAAACAGCCAGTTCCCTAAGTATGTAGTACACCATATATCGAGTTTTGCGAACGGAGTTATTCTGAAGAGACGAATCGCACCCTGAAAACGGCCTTGTGGGTAACGCACACAGCATTATTGCATTGTCCAGGCAGTGTGACTAGATTTATAGCAATCGTCATTGGGTTAAGTAGACCAGTCAGGTCGTGACTGGCTAAGAAAAATAGTTTGACCAAGATTATGCTAAGCAGGTGGCTTGTGGAGTCGCATATCGCAGTTTCTGTATTGCCGGACTCATGGGCTTCGGGCTGATAGAACCCCATTTTACATCAACAGTCAACCCAAATTCAACAGGTTTGAGCCCTGCTATTTCTAAGCAGATAAATAAAACAACAAATGCGATATCACGACATAAATACAGTGTGTTAGGCAGATTTCAAACCGCGTAGCTCGTTAGCCAGATAACAACTGCATCTCTGTGCGACATCATTTCTCGCTTGTTAGTATGTCAAGGAAGTATCAGTTGTCTAGATCCATGTTAGCACAAGAAGAACTCAGAATTCCTAACATGAGGACTTCAGCGGTAAGGTCTTAAAATCTGTAGATTTAGCGCAGAAGATATCCAAGCTGTACACAGCATATTCTGGCGCCTGAGGAACCGGTTGTCTACGTTGATTGAAAGAACCCATAGTGTTCCAAGGCAAATAGGCTTGTCAAATGAGTTCGAAAATAAAAATCAGCCTTGTCAATGGATGAAGGCTTCTATTCGTGAAGAATTTCTTTGGCCTAAGATAACGGAAGTCGCTGAAACAGTCGGATAGCAATCATAAGGAAACTCCACCAAATCACTATGTATAGCTTTTGTTTGGAATTTATTTGAGTATCCAGCACTATCCTAAAATTTCAACGATCGACATCCCAATAAGCTTGGCGCCACATGAAACGGTTTTCATACTGGCGCCAGAAAGTAGTTCAAGTTGAATTAATTTTTATAACGACGTGGGAATGAGAATTAAAGAAAAGTCTTTCCAAAATAATTACTCAGGAAAAAGATAAATTAGATGTGTCTAGAGTGGATTATTTAGTGGTCAGTCTGTCATTATTTTACCCAGTGGTTTCTGAGACGATAATCAATTTGTTTCGTATTAAAGCCTCAGGCAGCTTAAGACCATAAAATATGTGTATAGCTTTCCACGATTGACTGTCTGCACAACTGCCATATTGTTCGTTTGTGTAAAAGTGTAAATATCGTGCCAAAGAAGTTTTACACCCTGAGTGGTCTCAATCAATCAAAATAGCATAATTTCTTTGAAGCGGTTAGAAGATACTAAGTAGACCAATATGAACAATGCTCATGCTTTTTTAGGAATATGTCAAGCTGTTAAGTAAATATTGAAATGGTCACATACAGTGCCAATCCAATAGTAAAACCGCTTAGTTTGTCTTCATAAACTATCCCGGAGGGTTGCCGAGTCAATCGGCTCATGCATTAAGTGAGCCCACAGTGGCGGACCAATATGTGGCTACTGATCACTACTCGGCTACGTCTCGCACATATTTTTGATGTCTATGTGAAGTAATTTGTCAGCAAGAAGGAGACAGTGGTTCATCAGTTCTGAGTCATGTTGCTTTTTGGAAGGATTATTTAGTAAAAACCCTATGGGAACTCGGACATCAATCTAGTCACCGGTAAACTTCTACGGCTTCTGCAGAACGTGTATATTGACGACGGGTTGTGAACGCAGTTCTTATAGCAGACAGTTCACAAGAGTTTTGTAACAAAGTTTAAAGGGGCTTGGAATTTTGCACTTATATTCACCGACAGGACGCAAAGGCAAGTAACCTCAAAACAAAGAAGTTCAAAGACTTCAAACTATGCGGGTGAAATGGATAAAGTTACTCACGATCTGATCTTGGAATGAGTAAAATCAGAACACAGTTGGATCATAGCATGCAATCGTTTGTACCTGAAAGTTTGAACTTTGTGTTGGAGTCAAGAGTTGACCGATGATAGAAATATTTGAGTGGATAATTATAAGCGGTGCGTGCCGATTTGGTGAAAATAATGTTCCAAATGACCCTTCAGTCGGAAAAATAACGGCTATCCTTAAAAAACTGGTCACACGCTAGGTGCGCCTGGTGGATCGATAACCATAAGTTGTGGTATGTGGTACGGAATCTCGAAGGGCGTCATATGAGGCCACCAGATATCTGCTATTTTTAACACAATTGCTCAGCTGGCGCAACCATGATTCACTACTTGATCTCGGTCAAAAATTGCACCGTTGAGACATCACGCGACGTTCACGGAATACATTATTTTGAAAACGAATTCGGTCTTACCCAAGAGACTCAACTAAATTCTAACTGAATCTGTGACTCATGATATCTGTCTACTGAATGTACCATCTAGGGGTTGACAACAAACTTGTCAATAGTTCGTCCAACTCAGGCTACGTAGATTGCGTTCCTGTACGTAGATTGATCTCACTTTCAACAGGTTAACGATAAGAAGCTTCAAGATTCACCTGGAACTCAATGACAAACTTCTTATGAGTAGCGTGTCGAGTCTAGACAATGCAAGGAGTCGAACATCATGTCAACTGGAACCTGATTTGGCCTGACTTAGGAAGAATATCATGAGAGATTCAGCTGGGGTTCATTTGCGTCCCAAGTAAAAAACCGAATTTGCATGCACATAAGTGTATTTCAGTAATGTCTGGCAGTTTGGGTTCGAGTAAAACAAATATTCGAGGAATGTGTCTGCATGATGAGCCAGCCCTGAAAAGGCGTAACCGATGGTGAACTGTCGAACAGTATTCAGCAACCTTATGAGTTTTGTTTGAAGTTTGAAGCTCAAAGTTTTTCACTGTTTTTTGGTGAAAAACGTTAACTTCACTTAACAGTTAATAGCAAGACTACCCTTATGGTGCCTAATAGATAGATCGCTTCATACGGTTAAACTATTCCTCTGAACTGATAACGAGCATCTACTTGGAATGAGTGCAGTGAACTGGGCAAGAAATATTTCTGTTCTAAAAAACGATCATAGCATCCTCCCAGACATATTTTTCTGTTCAAATTTATATTGAAATTTTAGGTTTTGCCAGTTAGAAATTCGATTATACAACACACAAATGCACACTGTCTTTTCTTTAACTTTTTCAAGGAAACCACTTTGAAAATTGCACACAAAGTGTGGCTAAACGTGTCCCAACCCATTATGGCTCGATCCATCCACAGACTTTTGTTAAGCATAAAAAACCTCTTCATATTGATTTGCATTGTCTGTGCAAATTGTCTGTGGCAAACACTCTAGAATCAAACGCGTACTTGCGAGATTTCGCCAAACTACCGTATGATCCTTAAAGAAGTATAACTATATATCAGGGAGACAGTCTAGAGAGATTTCAAGTTGTCCCCACTTAACGATGTTGAATTTTTTTCTCGGCACTGGCTACACAATTAGAGATGAATTTGCACCTACTGCTTCCTCCAACAATTTTCGAATTTTTCAGCACTTGTCCCGAGTATATGGCTAGCTTTCCGTTTATAGACGCAGCTTTGCGCGCCCCATAATAATCGTCGACTTTTCTGAGCTAATATATGGCAAGAAGTTTGGCCTGCGTCATTAATAGCTCTAGTCAAAATAGACTTGCAATGCGTCTTCGCGATGCGAAATTGGATACACTGCTCCTTATTCCCCTTTTTCCACGAGTCATCAGAATGTGACGGATTCACCGATGGATTTGATCAGCTCATTCAAAACACAGGTTTAGGCTTTTCGACAAGGAATCAGTGTAGGTGAATGCCTTGGTGAAACCATCAAAGTGCTCTCTATACGGTTAAAGAACTAAGTCATTCCCTTTCAGATCATCCTGATGTAATGCCATCGGAAAATGGATAAGTACCCAAAAGGTTCAAGCGGAAGAGAAACGAC